CCAAAATCATTTTTACCTGCGAGTTTGGTCTGGCCTCAATCAATGCCCCAGGCCCTAGAACTGGTGGGCCAGAATGTCTGGATGCAAAGCTAGCCAGGTTTTGAGGGCATGACGACAAACCTGCACGATGCTGGAAAAAGCATAACAAGGAAGATGACAACAACTATTCAACAGTTCTCGTCTGACTCAGCTTTGGAATCAGTTTTGGTAGGATTAGACTTGGGGTTTTTGTTGAAACATGAGCAGGAAGAGGTTCTAAACTCAATAATTTTTAAGAAGGACGTAATCGCCGTTTTATTGACAGGCTGTTTGTTTACACTCTGCAGCCAGCTTTCTGTCGTGCAGCCAGTTGCGCTCATTAGTCAGAGCATTGGCCAATAGGCACAGACAGTGGCAATCTTCCGATGTCTCAATCATCGGGGCCAGACTAAATTTCACATTTAATCTCACATTTAGTTTGGTTTATCAGGCTACCTCAGCCTGGCATCCGAGTGGAAAGAATTTCCCACAGAATGCAACTAGGAACATTTTTAACTACATGAACAGCCTTGTGCAGAACAGCACAAGGCTGTTCATCTCCAAGATCGGCTACTAATCTGATGTTGGAGAGGGAGGGAACCCACTTGTATTAGCTATGTAGAGGCTGGTGACCACCATGCCTAGGCTGATGGCTCACTGGATTGCCTACTTCTTCTGCTGTCTGTTAGCACAGACAGGCCGGAATTAGGTGTTAGCATAGCAAAAACCTGCATAAGCTATAGATAGGCAGGGGGTAGCATTAAATAGCAGGTTTCGGCTGGTCATTCATTGTCATAGACGCATCAAGCTATGTCAGACGTCTTTAACCGAGTTAAAAATATACAGTTGCCATACTCTTTTAAACCTAGATAATAATATTCTAGACTATCCATCCATCCATTTTCTCACACGCTTTATCCCAAGCGGGGGTCGCGAGGGGTGCTGGTGCCTATATCCAGCTTTCTATAGGTGAGAGGCAAAACAGAGACAAACAGGACAAACAACCACACACACACACACACACACACACACACACACACACACACACACACACACACACACACACACACACACACACACACACACCTAAGGATAATTTCGAGAAGCCAATTAACCTAACAGTAATGTATTTCTAGGCTAGTTGGGAATATATTAAGCCCAGCTTGGAAATTGTGAAACCTTAATTTCATTTTATTTCACATATAAAAATAAAAAGTCACTATACCCCCTATCACCATACTCAACAACACTTTTTCTAATGTAATTACATCTTACATATTTTGGACATCACTATATCCTGCACCTGATATGGGAGCCCCACACTGACAGCATCAACGAAATGGCCTAGCAGAGGATGTACTTTTTGCACCAATTCCTTCAATAAAAATTTATAAATTTTGAGAGCCAGGAAACTGGCAGGAAAAAAAAAAAACTCCTGCAGACGCATCTCACCCTGGTCAAAGATTGTTCTTACTACTCCGCTCAGCTATGGGCTACAGCCCCGTAAGCTAAAAGCAACACAATCAGGAACCGTTTCTTCCTGCAAGTGAAAACTCTAATGAACATCTGACTGGGTCTGATATTACTCCTCTGCAAACTCAAAGAATGTGCTGTCCGCTTACAAAAGAAAACATGTTGGGATGTGAAGAGAGACAGAGAGGTCAAATCAGAGGAACAAGATAAACTCACAGAAATGTAACACAATTGTGGTGAGTCTAGTGTGTAGTTTAAGTCATCTAGCTCAAAGTGGGGCGACAGTGGCGTTGGATGTAGGAGTTTGCCCTAAAATCGAAGGGTTGACGGTTCAAGCCCCGACTCCGACTTACAGTGTCGTTGTGTCCTTGGGCAAGACATGGTGGTCCCGGATGTGCCAGTGTATGGCAGCCCTACTTCTGTTAGTGAGCCCCAGGGTAGCTGTGGCTACAATGTAGCTTGCCACCGTGAGTGTGTGCATAAATGGGTGAATGTAGTGTAAAGCACTTTGGTCAAGTCTCCTGACTTGAATAAAGGCGCTATTTAAGTACATGCCATTTACGTCTCAACATGCAGTTTTAACTTTGCAAGTTACTACCATACTAAAAAATCTTGTTTGCTGCACAAGAACATGAAGCATATTTGTATAAGCCTGCTTCAAAAGGAAAACAACTTTCTGGGGGATACAAAAGTAGGGGAATTCCAGAAAAAGTTATAAAAGTGAGTTCGAGGCTTTATACAGTAGCCAAATGAAGCCGTGTTTTTGTTTTGAAAACATGCAAATTGAAACGGAGAAGAGAAAGGTGGGAGAAGAGAACATAAAACAGGACAGTCTTTTGTCTGAAAGCTTATTGTGACTTATTTGTATTAATGTAGAGATGGGTTCAATACTGAGGGGACATATTGGAAATCTTACACATCCCAAAAAGGTCCAACATGTTTTATTGATCAAAAATACATATATTTAGATTGACTGGCAGATGAACTGGTTCTTTTGAGATCACCTTTCTTTTATAAAGAAATATGAGTAATGTGAAAAAACAATTATCATGTTTTATTATAAATAAAAAAAATGAATTGTAATACATTACATAAAGATTTGCTCTTCTCAAAAAACTAGAAGTAGATATGTGCAACAGTTATGCTGACAAAAATTAATAAAAATAATACTTGCTACATCGAACATACAAGCTTATTGTGACAATGACAACTCAATATGTCGTTGTGTTTTAACTCTGCTTTGAATAACATGCATGCCAAGGCAGACAAAAAACTGTAAAAAAAAAAATATAAAAATATTGGCCTAAGCAAATGAGGAAAAGTATTTTTCCTTCTATCATTTGAAGCCACAAGTTGCTTCAAATTGACTTTTTGTCTAGTAACTCGTTCATCCTAATGAACATGACAGATGCCAATATGATAAGTTCTGCGTCATTGTTGAAAGGAGCCAAATTTGAGCCTGTGGATTGCACTAAAATTCTCACTGCCTCAGAGGATGAAACAGGGACCATCAAAAGCATCCTGGCCCAAATAGTCCATGTACCTCTGCAATTAATAAACTGTTGTTCCCTGCAACTTCCATGAGGCTTCTTGCATAATAAGCAGTTCAGGTGATACGTAGAAAGCTGCACTGAATGTAACTGTATGTTCAGCTCTGGATATTTTTCTCTGACTACAGTATCACTCTTTTGAATTAGAATTGTATCTCCCAGCTTTTATGAAGTCAGCAGGTTATGAAAAACTAATGAATACTAATAACTAGTGAATAACTCATCTCTATAGTGGTTCAATTAAATTCAATTCAGTTTATTTATATAGCGCCAATTCAACTCAAGACACTTTACAGTTCATCAGATCATACAATAAAATTTTTTCAGTCAGGTTCTTGGCACAGTTAGGCTGATGTGCCTTAGCTCCTTAAATTAAGCTCTTTGAAGGTGGTTTGGTCTGTGGAATGAAAATGAGCTTAACACCTGATGCTACGTTCACACCGAACATGATTTTAGCAGCAAAAAAGCGTATGCTGCTAAATTTTTGCCTACATACATTAAGGAAGTTTTTTAGAAGCATCAAAGATGCTTTTGAGGTGTTTAAAGCATCTCGAAAGTCTGATGCTTTTGCTGCTCCTGTGTTCAATGGCAGTGGCTTTGCTATATTTGCTGTGATATGTGGGTAAAAAGTAGTTTTAATATATCTTAAGTGAGAGAGTACATCTCAAAACAATGTCAGACCAGTCAGTGCATCAAGATTACAATCCTGCCTTAAAATGTTATTTCGCTGCTGGAGGTGCACAGACTCACCCACAACAGCAGCAAGCAACAGCTGCTTCAGGCCCAGTCGCTCCCTTGGGGATTATTCCCCTACTGTTCGTGGCAGCTGGAAGTAGATGTCAGTTTTTTTTCAGGTAGCCTATATGGTACAAACTGCCGGTACCAGGCTAATAAAAGTGAACATATTTTGTCGAGAGGATTTGACAACATTTAAAGGTATAGTGGAGGATGTTCTTTTTCCAGGTGGATCATCAAACTAAGTGGTCCTCGCAAATGTCAATCATTCTGCTGATATGTTTACATAAGGCCGTCCGTTTTCTGTGCATGCGCATTTCCATCTGTATATGTGTGGTCAGCTACAGTTTCAGCCAGTCATTGAAGCTCGCCTTTCGTCTTTTAAAAAGTAAGCTTCTATGAGCAATGCAAACAGCAACATCTAAACAGAGCATGTACAAGGAGAAATGGGCTGGTGCATGCTCTCTTACACATTTAATAGGTGTTCTCTCTCGTTAGTATATACAGGGTTGGGCATGTGCATTTTTTTTTTAAGTGGAGAGGGTGGGTTGGGAAAATCCTCCCCTATACCTTTAAGTTAATTTAGGCATTAATAAACTGTGCCAGAGGCGCTTTTTGAGCTGCTGATTCACTGCTCCTGCTGTTTGACACACACTGCAGGGCCTTTGGATGCGCCTTGATGCAGGTCAACCATGGACCTTGCATGTAAACTGGTTGCTTCTGCTGCTCAAATCGCATCCGCTGTGAGCGTAGCATGAGACTTGACCACAACCCAATTTTTTTGGCCTTGATCGACATTTCAACAGCAGCCCTAATGCCAGCGATGTTTCAGTTCTTTTCTGTAAGAGATGCTCTTGTGTTCAAGCTAAGAAATCACTGGGGTCTGTTTAAACAAGCAGGTTAAAACAAACTGAAATCCTTTGCTCTGAAATTGATCTAGTAAAAGTTTGGAAACTGAGTTTTCAGTTTCATAAAACTGCTGTGAGTTAGTTTAACTATCTCTAAGTAGGTCCACTCAGAAGAGAAGATGTGACGAAAGGCAACAGAAAGTGCCGATTTCCCCCCACTGGAACTAGAGATTGTAATGCAGAAATTTTAGGAAAAAAATGGATGGCCCATAAATCTGCATCCTGAGCTCAAAGAGACCCCCTTTTTAAGCCCTAGGCAGGTAGCGGGGTCTATTTTAAAAGACAGAGAGACAGAGCCACAGCTGCAAAGGAAAGGAAGATGGTGAAGGAGAAGATTGCTGCTCAAGTTAATACAAACGTTTACATGTAGTCTGCTACAGTATGGCAGGCCATTTTTACATTTACTGTAGTAAAAGGCCTCTCCTCTCTGTTTTTTTCATTTTTAAATCACTAGAATAGCGTTAATCCCTGCCAAAATGACATTCCTAGAAATGTAACATTTCTAAATTATATTTTGTAACAAGAATTGAATTTTACAAAGTAAAAACAAAAATTTTACTTATAAGAATGAAGTTTTATACATACAGGATACTACAGATTTTAGACATTTTAAGTGGCCGTTTTGACATTTACAAGCATAAGCTTGACTGAATATGTATTTATGATATCTGAAATACATTCTTCATATTCAAAATTATACAAATGATGACCAGGAAAAATAGGAATATAGACATGTGAAATTTTCTTAATTCTAAGCAGAGGCTTCCTTAATCAAAGTCAGAAAACACCACAACAAGCATGCTTATCAGATGTGTATCCTACAGTTGCAGCTGCTGGTTAATCAAACCAAAACATAAAGAAACTAACGAAACATTAACAAGATTAAAATGGTGCAATCACAGTTGGATTTTGTCATTTATTTTGAATGTTGTCTGTTCAATGGGTGATTATAGCTGCTGTGAAGTGCTTAGAAAAATACAAAATGGCAAGAGGTTAGAGCAAGACGACTGTTCTTTTGTTTGAATATTTTTTTTTCTTTTCATGAGTCATGAG